CTCCTTACTGGTGTTTTAAGGCTTCTGCGCTTATGCACACGGCGCATATAGTGCCTGCGTGATGCTCCGCTGAGCAGCTGGAGTGTCACAGAAGCTCGCGGAGGTGCTTAGACGCATGCATGCGCGCTGCACGCATCCATGTGGACGCCCCCGGGAACATTCCAATCGTACTGGTTGAAACAGGATCCGGAACTCACCACTGTTCCCCTCGCACATATGTGATAGTCGTTCCCGACTCTAGGAGGCAGTGTTCATCTCCGTTTCAAAGCTGAAGTATCAGCTCTTTCTGAAGACATCTCTGTGGTTATGTGGCCGGCATGACTAAACCCCAAAGATGCACAGAACGCTATTACCTTCCTACCAAAGGTGGTTCCTATTTTTCTACTTGCATTTTTTATGTACTTTCGAACTGCTAATTTGGCAGAAGCTGGGATAAGTAATGGGAGCTCACTCTATTACATGGCACTAGGGATTCCAACCGCCAAACTGCCATCCTTTCTGATTGACGAGCTCAGCGTCATAGCCATTGAGCCACCGTGTCCCACTTCAAACCAACAGAGTGTCTATTTTTTAAGCATTTTCAATTAATGGGATTATTTCTGCTTTTTCACACCCAAAAGCCTGGAAAAGAATGCCTACAGGATCCTAAATTGCCAAGGATTGAACTGGGTATCAGGTGAATAGTAAATGGACTTTTTCTTTCCCCTTTGAGCAGCCAGTCTCATTGACAAACATATAATAATTTTAATTTTACAGTTCTGCATGCTCTGTAACTTCAGGTGCTGAGGTCACAACTGGTATTAAGACAGAGAAGATCCAGAACTAGAGCAAGTCCTTATTACCATTTGCCAGAATGGATAATCCTGCTGGGAAAAACGTTTCCATATAGAGAAACCTATTTTTCCTTCCTGTACTCTGATTACAATAGAGATCAGACACATCTTTTCAGTCACAGAACCCGATGGCTTTTATTAATTGTTCTAAAGCACCATTGATGTTTAGTACAAAAGCAATTAAAATTGCAGGAAGCAGCACATCTACTCTGTTATGCCAGACCTGCCACAAATATTGCATCCAGTTCCAGCCTGGAAAGGAGGATTCAGATAAAGTGGAAAGAATTTGAAGAACAATGAGGATGACCGGAAACTCAAAACAAATATGTGTAACTCTTTTAAGAGACATTTTGCTTTGATAAAGATGTATGCTAAGTATCCCTTTGAATTGCCTAAGTGGGAAGAGTCATAGAGCAGGCTTCCAACTTGTGAAACAAAGCAGCTCTGAGTTTCAATACATTCCTCAATGAAACTTCTGTGTATGTATAGAAACCATTTAGTTGAAGTAAAGGAAGTTACAAAGGTAGAGTGGTCTCTCACTGATGCTTCACAACCTTGAAACAGTTTGCTCCCTGAGTGCTTTTAGTACCTCTGGAAGGTAAAGCACCATTAAAGCAGATGGTATGCAATCCTCAGAGGCTTAACTATTAAATTCCTTGAAGAAAGATTAAGGAAGTCAATTGCAGGACAATACAGCAACACTCTTCAAGTACATACAGGAACGTCTCCCAGAAGAAAACTG